CTTCGGATTCTGCGTCTCCCTGTCTCTCTGCCCCTCCCCTGCTCGTGCTCCGTTTCTCTCTCTTACAAAGAAATAAAAATTAAAAAAAAAAAAAAGAGTCACATATGCTCACCATAAAAATATATTTATATTTTGTGTTTTATATCTATTTTAGATACTTTATAGGGTTTTATTATTTTTTAGTGTTTCTGTATTAACCGACTTAACCGACTGAGGCATCCAGGTACCCCTTAAGATACTTTAAATATGCTTTTGTGTCTTGTATTTTCCATCCGTATAAAACATATGCTCCCAGTAAAAGTGGCTTACAAAACCGAGCTGTAACTTACGTATACTAAAGAATACAGGTCTTAAGGGAAAAACTCAGCGTATGTTCACGTACGTTTCTATCTGTGTTGATGCTGCTCCGAGGTGGACCTTGGCATGGAGAAGGCGTCCACCGGCCCCCAAGGCCACCTCTGTCCTGCCTCCCAACACCGTACATTCGCTGGTCTGTGCTCGAAAGACGTACACACGGAAACATGCAGCGTATGCGCTTTTCTGGGTGGCTCATTTCACGCGGCGTTTGTCCGTGAGCTTCAGACCATCGACGTTCTTACTGCTGAGTGGTGTGCCCTTGAATGTCTACACCACAAACTGACTCCTTGTTTTGCCGATGGGACTTGGGCAGTATCGCGTATTAGCCGTTACAGATAACGCTGCGGGGAGCTCCGCGTAGGAAGCATCTAGGTGAACTCCGGGTGTGACATTTGTGGGGCAGAGGAGAGCTGAAGCCCGCCGCTCTGCCCCAGACCTTCGGCGATGTGGGGAGAGAGGGCCGTGAAAGAAAGACGGCCCCTCACATTGGTCTGCTCTGCTTCAACTGCGGGTGAAGGCGGGACATCTTCTCTTGGATTCATTGGCCACTGGCATTGTTCTTTTCTGAGAATTGTCCAAATGTTTTACTTTTTTTTTTAACATTTATTTATTTTTGAGACAGAGAGAGACAGAGCATGAACGGGGGAGGAGCAGAGAGAGAGGGAGACACAGAATCGGAAACAGGCTCCAGGCTCTGAGCCGTCAGCCCAGAGCCCGACACGGGGCTCGAACTCACGGACCGCGAGATCGTGACCTGAGCTGAAGTCGGACGCTCAACCGACTGAGCCACCTGGGCGCCCCACTTTTTTTTTTAAGTAGGTTTCACACCCAACATGGAGCCCAACATGAGGCTTGAACTCACAACCCCAAGATAGGGAGACACAGAATCCGAAGCGGGCTCCAAGCTCCGAGGGGTCAGCACGGAGCCCAACGCGGGCGGGGGTTGAACTCACGAAATGCGAAATCATGCCCTGAGCTGATGTCTGACGCTTAACCGACCGAGCCACCCAGGCGTCCTTTCTAATTTTTTAAATGTTTACTTATTTATTTTCAGAGAGAGAGTGTGAGCGGGGGCAGGGGGGCTCAGAGAGAGAGGGAGAGAGAGAAAGAATCCCAAGCAGGCTCTTCCCCGGGCAGCACAGAATCCAATGCTGGGCTCAGGACTCAGTAATCGTGAGATCATAACCTGAGCCGAAATCGAGAGTCGGACACTTAAGTGACTGAGCCACCCAGGTGCCCCCTTGACCCATTTTATATTAGGTGGTTCGTCTTTTTCTATTACGTCTGTAAACACACTTTGTATTTTAAGAAACTAGAACCTTGTGTTGGAAAGGCATGGGAAGGAATTAATTTTATACCCAGAGCCAAACCATAGGTGGTCCTACCGACGTGGGCTTTGGGACTCAGCTGTCCAACCACGCGGTTCCTTTGCTTGTAAAACTTAATCACACAATATCAAAATGCAAAGTTTGATTTTGCTAAGTGTGTTAGAATTAAGGTTCTGGCAGGCGACCATGGTTTCTCCGCCTTGTTCACCAGCTCACCACAGACAGCGTCCCTGCCTTCTGAGCCTGGGCTGGACCTCAGGATCCTTCCCGACCCAAAGCTCCCTGTGGACGGTAGTGACTTGAGCTGGTGTGAGTTGGAATTTCTCTGTCTCCAGGGCGGAATGTCACCTACTGTTGGAGTTAATTGAACGCGTGAGTGGACAGTAGGGACAGAATGGAGGCACCGTCAGGGCTTGCCAGGCCAAACGGGGATGAGGACAGGAGGATGGGGCCGAGTGGGGGCAGGGATTCTGTCTAGAAGACAGGACCCAGACATGAGTACATTTTTTACCATGCAGCTCTGGAGTACTGATGGTGAGGTTATATCTGGATTCTGAAGGTGGGGGAGGGGGCTGGGTTGAGGAGGGGATGGGGAGGGGAGGGAGGGAGCCGGGTTGAGGATGACATAGGGGGAGGGTGGGGAGGTGGGCCAGGAGGATCCATGATAAATATGGAGACCCGGTTATTGGATCAAGACCTGCGCGGACCATGTCAGTTGGCTGCTGTCCATGCTTGTTGGCCCAGAGGTGGCTCAGTTTGGTGACAAGATTGGGGCCTTCCCAGGACAAAAGAGAAAGGGGCAGGGGGTGGGAGCCTGGGTGGCAACGGGGAGCCGTGGCTGTAGCCTCCCCCAGAGTCTCTGATGTCTCGTAGGCTGGGCTGGCCAGGACTCGGGTATAAGCTGCGGACTTTTCAAGCACCTTGTGTTTCGGACTGAAGATCTTTCATGACTGGACATTTTCCTGTTCTGTTTCCTATGAAGAGTGGCTTCCCCTGCTGGCTCCCAGGCGGCTTTGTGATTTGAACTTGGAAATGCTGCAGTCTCTTTCTGCAGCTCCTTGCACCTCCTTCCGGTTAGTTCTCTGGCTCTGTGCCCCTCAACATCTGCTTTCTCACCCCACTGAATAAGGGCGGATTTTTACATCGTCTCAGGGGAAATTTTAAGGTGTAGATGACCAGAGCTTGTAGCCTGAGTGTCTGGGCTTCTTGGCGCGGCTGAGTGGATGGCATTCGGGACCCTGGACCCTCCTCGCCCACTCGTCCCCTCCGTGAGCGTGTGTGTATGTGCATGCGGGTTCACACGATTCTCCGCATACGCGATCCCTTTGCACCGGGCGAACACCACAGACACCGCATGGAAAAGCCAGAACGTCAAGTGACATTTGTCAACTGAGCACTTGCTAGGAGACGGCTCGTGGGCCGGGTGCCAGGGGAACCTCGACAGAGAAGACGGGGTCACTGCCTTCAACGATCTTTGTCCAACTCCCAAACTGGGAGGCGGCGGGCTTTATTTAGCATCCACATGTCACGTGGGGCCAACGCAAAGCCCGAGGCGGGTCTTTTAGAAAAAGTTTTTGATTGTGGTAAGATACACATGAGCATAAAATTCACCCCCTTAACCACTAAGTACATTCACGGTGTGGCACAACACCGCCACCCCCCGTCTCCAGAAGACTTTCATCGTCCCAAACTGAAGCTCGGTCCCCATGAAACTCTCAATTCCTGTGCTCCTTCCCCAGCCCCTGGCACCCTCTACATTTTCATGAATTTGACGGCTCTAGGTACCTCGCCTAAGTGGAATCGTAGAGCACTTGTCTTCTTGGCGCTGGCCGATTTCACCCGGCACATGTCCTCGAGGTCCACCCGTGGGGTGGCAGGCATCGGCACGTCTTTCCTGTTCATAAACGACTTGGAGTCCATTGTGTGGATGGACCCCACTTTGTTTATCCCGTCATCCATCGATGACGATGGATGAGTCCCGTCATCCATCGATGGGATGAAACCCCACCACTTGGCTACGGGAGACAGCCAGGGCTTTTAAATATATTGAATTAGCGGTCAGCATTTACGACTTGGGGGATTTCTCCACTATCCAGCGTCCAGCTTCTTGTCAAGAATAAGGAGGTCTGGTCACACTGGGCTGCTGTCCTGTGTGTCGGTGACTGGTGACGCGCGGTTCCTGTCCCGGGACAGTGTCATGCGGGCGCGGACCAGAGGCGGACCACTCACGTCATTGTTTTCCTTTCAGTCGAGTTAAGGAAAAAGCAAGATATTTCCATTACCTGCGTCTCTATCAAATGTGGACAATACAAAACGTGGAAGGATCTCCCCGTTTTGGGGAGAGGAGAACGTTCCTGCGTATGGAACACGCACGCAGGGCAGGTCTGTGGGCCGAGAGCCCAGGGGGCCGGGTCCCTAACACGGCCCCCTCCCACGTGGGTGTCCCAGGGGGCACTGCAGTGGACCTCTGGGTGGGGCTTCAGGAATTGCAGGTTCTGGATGCAGCTTGGTTCCTGCTGGTGGGTCCATTAAGTCATCTACGTCATGATACCCTAATCATTGGTTTGATTTCTGATCGGCGATATCCTGATCACCCGTCCCTCCCGCAACGTTGTGGGCCATGTAAAGCAAACAGGTGTAGGGGGTTGAGCGGTGGCCCCTGGGAAGACACGTTCAAGTCCTGACCCTCCTTACCTCTGAGTGTGACCCTTTATGGACGAAGGGTGCTTGCGGGTGTAATTAAGGATCTGGGGATGACATCATCCTGGATTAACCGGGTGGGTCCTAAGTCTAATGACAAGGGTCCTTATTAGACACAGAAGAGTGAGGGCATCTGGGGGTCTCAGTCAGTTGAGCGGCTGACTTCGGCTCGCGTCATGATCTCACGGTGTGTGAGTTCGAGCCCCGTGTCGGGCTCTGTGCTGACAGCTCGGGGCCTGGAGCCTGCTTCGGATTCTGTGTCTCCCTCTCTCTCTCTGCCCCTCCTCCACTCCCGCTCTGTCTCTGTCTCTCAAGGATAAATAAATGAAAAAAAAAAAATAGCAAACCCCGAGCCAGAGGCTTTTCAGGGCCTCCCCTCCGTCCGTGCTGTGTAGGAGAAATGGCTCGTCCCGGACAGACACGCGTCCTTCCCGTGGCCAGGGCTAGACGCCCACAAATAGGTGCCGCGGCCCGAAGTCGGTCTGTTCACCTGAGGTTTTCATGGAAGTTGCTGACTCTCCAGGGGGCTTTTCTCTGCCATGTGCTTGTGCAGAAAGGCTGGCTCTTGTGTGTGCCGTCCAGAATGCGTTTCTCCCAAGGGGCTGCTTTCTCCAGTCAATTCCAGTTGGGGCATACGTTCACCCTGCATGTTTTATCGGAAGGTGGGAGGTGTCGTTCAGGCGTTGTTCCCCGGGGTTTGGCTGACACCTGTGGGGGGCCCAGAGCGGCCTTAAGGAGTCACAGTGCCCCCTGGAGGGTCCCTGCCCACCTTCCCCGAGCCTTTCTGATGGAGGGCCGGGGCTCCATCCAGGCTCTGGTGGGGGGGGGGGGCACACCCCAGCTCCTCCTCCCGGCGCCCCTCCCCCAGCCCCTCTTCGGGTCCCTCCCCAGGAGCATTTATTAGCAGCCAGAGGACCAGGGAAGCCGGGTACATAGACGGGGGGCCCGCTGGTGCGGCTCCGGGGCCTGAAACAGCCGCTGTGCAGCCTCCCTGATTTCTGTTTTATGTTTGGGCGGACTCCCAGAATCTGTGTTTGTAAAAACTCGTGCTAAAGTACATATAACATAAAACTTACCATTTGAATGCTCCCGAGCATATAATTCAGTAACATTTAGGACATTTCACAGGGTCGCACGCCTCCGCTACTATCCGGTTCCTGAACGTTGTCATCTCCCCCAAAGGGAACCTGTGCTCACCCAAGCAGCCCCCTCCCCGCCCCTGT